TCTTTATGTGTTCTGTTTCATTTTTGACAACTTCCAATTTTCTTAGATTCATACTTAGCACATGCCTTGTTCTGATTAGTACTGGATGTTTGCAGGTGTTTCTCCTCATTTTGAGTTCTCTCCCATCAGCAAATGAAGGTCATGAAAGCTTTACTCCATTCACTTCAATATGGTCAAATCTACTTTGCGGAGACAGCTTTTTCCCAGTTGTATTCTGAGTGCCTTCCAACCTGAAGGGCTCATCATCTGGCATGATATCTTGCAATGTTCTGCTGCTATTAATAGTGTTTTCATCTTCTGGTACAATACCTGCTGCAAGAATTGATGAAATGCCGATGGAAGTCGACAGGTCTACCTTCTGTGCAAGAATGCCTACTCCAAATCCTTGCAGAGGGAACTGGGCCAGCACTGTCGTGGAGACAGCCACCCTATCGTGATGATGATGACAGCCTCACACCATAGGATCACTACTGATTTTGCAGGAACTGCTTATTCATGCAGAATTATTGGCCTGGACTGCCTGGGTTACTCTTACTCACAATGGGAAAGTTAATTATTACCATCCTGGAAATACTGCCAAGATTCTGTCTTTTCCTTCCAGAGTTGTGTATATTAATAGTGCAAAAATAGAGTTGAGTGGCATTTCCCAGAACTTTAGGTCTTAAGCTGTTTGATTGGCCCTTGAGTATAGTATGTATTAAGGAGCTGTGGTAGCATAGTGGTTACAAATCGGGCTGCTAATCTCACGGTCAGCAGTTTGAAACTACCAGCTGTTCTGCGGGCGGGATGGTAAGGCTTTCTGCTCCCATAAAGATTTACAGCCTCAGAAACCCTGTAGACAGTCGCTATGAGTCGGAACTGACTCCACGACACATAACAACAACAACAACATAGTATGTATTGCAGTTATATACACACATGTTGTCACAGTATTTTTCATAGTCTATAAGATTTACTAATGTGGCCTTTAAAGGATAAGTAATTTAAGAAATGAATGGGGGCATATTTTTCTCTACTGGTCCAAATGTATTTTTTATCAGTAAATAAATTCTTAACCATCAATAAAGCATTGTGATGGATTTTTTTGGTATCTTGTTTTCTTTGCTTACATTGCTTCTATCCGAGAAGGCCATTTAGGCAGGTGTTATTAAAATTGAAGAAAAGTAACATTTTTTTTTTCAATTTTTCTTTCTTTTTTTGAAATTTATAACGGCTGATTGCATAAGTTAGATTTATTTGTTGAATAAACCTGGGGTCCAAGATGACACTTTTTAACTTGCTATGAACAGACACTGAATACATTAGATAAAATGGAAAGTTCTTTTCCACAGGATAGCTAAGTCAAGTCAGTCAAGTTGGCTGGCGATGTCTGTCCATTCATCATTTATGCATTATTAATAAGAATTACAAGAATAAAATTTAAAATGTCTTGATCAGCTAACTTGGAGGAAAAGAATTAAAGTGTTTTATATTATTTAACTATGCTTTATTACATTTATCATAGAATTGCAATATGAGTCTACAAGAGGATATGGGATGTAACAGTACCCAGTCTTTTTTTTTTTTTAACCAAAGAACTGTTTTTTTAAATTGCTAAAAAAATCATAGAAAACTTTATAAAACAAAAATCTCAAAAGATGAAACTACTCTTTCTCAATATAGTGTGATATATTTATGCATGTACATTTTGTCCTAATGTAAAGTACAATATGGGAATTTTTTAAAGACTTTTATTGTGAATTGAGTGATAGTTTACATGGGAGAACATCGGTTTTGCATTCAATCTATTATATTTTGTTTGTTTCATTGCAATGATTACAATCCCCTTGATGCATCATCAGTTAACAGTATTTGCTTTTATGCCCTCTGGTTTTTGTTGTTTTGATGTAACACAAAAACACACGGGAATATATATAATTATTTAAACAACCAAAGGGCACATTCTGAAAGTTGGTTTCCTGGATGCCAGCACACAGCCTTTCTCTTTCCATGAGTCTAGAATCCACGAGCTGAGGAATACCCAAGTCTCCCCAAATGTCAGACCAACCAGCCCTTCCTCTTCTCTCTTTCATCTCAAGGTTGACTGAAGTCTATGGAAAATGGTCAAACTCAGCCCTTATCTTCATTGCTGCCTTTCTCCCACTTCCACTCACATGTAGACCAACACGGTCACCAGCATGTTACATGCCTACTTGTGTGTTCCCTTTGAGTTTCAGTCTTAGAGTGGGGTTTGTCCTGCAGGGACTTAATTGATTGCCTTGATAGCTTCCAGGCAAAAAGCTTGCTTGTTCTTGTAATAGCCAAACAGACTACCATTTTTTTTTTCTTTTTTCCTGTTGGTCTTTCGTATATCATTAAATGACAAATCCAGAAATATCTTCTGTTCCTGCAGTTGCTCCAAGCTGGTCTGCATGTCCTTTCAAGTGGGAATGTCCTAACTCAGAAGGTTCTGGATGGGACTCAGGATTCCACCTTAAGGTTCTATACACTACAAAGGCTCTGCAAGAAGCCTATGTCACTGGGCAAGTTCTAGAATCCCTTTTAGGTATTCCAGTCGGTTATAGGCTGAAGATGGACTTACAAGTTTTCTATAATCATGTTTCCTGATATTCCTTTGTATTCCACTCAAGTGTCTACTTTACAATAGTAGGCAAGGGAAACCAATATTCATAAGACAGTCAGCATCTTAACATTATTTTCCCTCTTTGGCACATTCAGTCTATGCCTTGACTCCTGCATCTCAGAGTCCTGTTTTTTCAAGGTTGAGCATACATCACTATTTATCTCTGTCCCATTTAGCTCATACAAACCTACCTAAGTGTTCCCTTATCTACCTTGTTCTTTCATCCCCCTGTCCCTTCTTGTGTATTGCACTCCCCAACAACCAAATTGTGATGCAACTATCCCTAACCTGTGCTCTACTGTCCCCTCCCTTATACCCCAGGTAACCAACATTTTTTTTCTTTTAGTATGGGTATCTTTTCTTAAGCTTTTGCAATAATGGTCTTATGCAATATTTGTCCTTTTGTGACTAATTTCACTCAGCATAATGTCCTCAAGGGTCATCCATGTTATGTGGTATTTTGCAGTTTTATTGTTATTCTTCAAGGTAGTATAGTGTTCCATAGTGTTTATGCATCAAAGTTTGTTAATCCATTCTCCCACTAATGGGCACTTAGGCTGTCTCCATCTTTTTGCTATTGTGAATAGTGCTGTGATAGACACTGGTGTACATATATCTACTCATGTTCTGGCTTGTATTTCTTGTGGATATGTACCAAGTATAGGAATTGTTGGATCATAAGGTTTTTCTATTTCCAACTTTCTGAGGAAGTGTCATATCGTTTTCCAATGGTTGAACCATTTTACAATCCCACCAGCAAAGTAGGGGTCCCAGTCTCTACACATCTTTGCCAGCATTTATTATCCTCTGCTTTTTTGAACTTTGCTGTTATCGATGGTGCCAAAGAACTGTTTTTTAAAGAATATACTGAGTTTCAAAAAACAGCGACTTTCAGAAACATTACTTGGTTCTGAATCTCCATACATGTCACATTAAGAAACCTAATTCATTCTGCTCTGCTTCTACCTAGTCATAGCCTGGAGTATTTTATCAGGCTGTGTCCCCTACCTGTGTCACCATCTTGAGTTTTCCATAAAACTTGTAATAATTCTAATAATCCCATTAATCCTAGCCCCTGATCTTCTATTCATTGGTTTTGCAACATGCTAACAACTGGATAGTCTACCTCCAGTCTAACCCATCCAATCCACAACCAAAGCCCCCATCATCCAGTCATCTCTCCTGAAGAATCATTGGTAGGTTTGAACTGGCAATCCGTGGTTAGTAGTACAATATATATTTATACTTTATTTTCTTAACAAAAGAAGTGTTGTTTGACATACACACAAGCTTTCACACTCTCTATTTAAAATAAAGATGAAAATTAATGTGAAGAACTACGATCCTTATAGGTACATTTTTCAATTTGCCTTAATCAAATTAATAAAACTAACATTATGTATTGATGTTGTTTTTCTTAAGTGTTGTGGAGTTGGTTCTGACTCATAACGACCCTTTTTAGGGATTCTGAGGCTTTAAATCTTAGTGTGAGCAGAAAACCTTATCTTGATCCAAAACCTTGTGGTTTGCAGTCCAGTGCTTATGTATTAGAAAATGAAAATTATGTATTGTAAAAATAAAAACTATATTGTAGAGAAAGTACGGAAATTACATATTTTCAATACAATACATTTAAATTGGGAAGCAGCCTAATTTTCTAATGGTCAATTCATCAATGTCAATATTCCAATGTTGGTTCACAAGACAACCAGTCATCCAGTGCACACTACTAACACAATGACTAAAGACATTGAAAACAATATACCATCATTACTTAGAGTGGCTCATTTATCTAAATGATACTGAATTAAAATGACAGCCATATCTGATTAACCTTGCTATGCTTTAGTAAGCAGTATATCCATTTCCAGTCTATGGTAGTTAAACTGGTTATAACATCATATTGCTGTTGTGTTGTGAAGCGCCATCAAGTCAGTTCTGCCCCATAGCAACCCTGTATAGCATGCCCCTAATTTTGTTTTGAATCATCAAATTCACACATGGAAGAAGTTTATTTTCATGTTATTCTCACTGCTTGAGAGCTAATGAGAACATATTTGATAGCTTGACTATAATAGTCTTTGAGGATTAGGTCATGGGATTTCCTAAGAAAGATGTTCTGTACTTTTGGCACCTCTGAAGGCAATCCAAAGCATATTTATTTTATATTAACTCTAAATCTTTGTTATAATTACTACTCATAATAAGACATTTTATAATGATATATTCAACAATAAAAATGAACTCACTTGTGAGGGAAAAGTTCGTATATCATTAAATGACAAATTAAGATAAATCAATTGGAAAGCCAAAGGTGTTAAGTCAGGACAATCGAGGATAAAAAAACCCTAAAAGAAATTGACAAGAAATAAGATGTTAATTTTAATGTGCAAAGTATTTGTACAAGAATAAAGAAGTAAACACATAACTTGAATGACAACCCTTGACATAACACACAAGCAGTCTGTCTTCTACTCAATTCTCATAGTCTATCTTGATGATATGCTCTTAAATATGTCAAGGATGGAAACAAACAGAAGTTGCTAAGTACTGATGTGATAAGTTTTGTTAAATATGGGACAGATGTTATTTCAATTAATAACAAGCAAATATTTACTGAACACCCACTACATGCTGGAATATCAATAAATAAATGTATTCAACTCTTTTACTCCCTGTTTTTTCATGTCTCTACCTCTATTTCTCTGCCACGCATATGTTAATCTAACAGATATCTGAAACTTCACACTCAAATATGCCAATTCCATATTGAATAGAAATTATACTTGATGCTCCCAGAGAAGTGGGATCCTTTATTTCTTAAGAATTACAGAATCAATTGTAATCAATTGAGTTAACAGGACTCTTCTACTTGAGGCTCCATCTTCAGTGTGTGATGAAGAAAGGTGCTGCTGACAATACATAATGCTGTGGCATGTACCATCTAGAAATAACAAACGTTTGGTGGCTAAAAACCTCAGAATTTGCAGTACTGGGTTAAAGACTGACCTATTGCTAAAACATTAATGTTCTGATGTGACCCTTCAGGTGAATGCACCGGATCGCAAGGTCAGTTTGAACCACAAGGTCAGCAGTTCAAACCCACCAACCTCTCCTCTGAAACCCTTGACGGGGTTGCTATGAGTCAGAACTGACTGGAAGGCACTTAACAACAACATTTGCACAAGTTTGTATGCCTGCAGTAGACAAAAAAAGGTGTTCTTTCCTCTTGTCATTAAACATTTTTTTCCTTCTATACAGAACGAGGGCACACTAAATTACATAGATGTTCTATGATATAGACATTTTTGTCTGCTTTTCTCATGGACATATTGTGAGATATATAGTTTGTTCACTGCTATACAGTTCTTGATCAATATTGGCTGAATGAGTGAATATCTGGGCCCTTCATATTAACTAAGTTAACATGGAGAAAATCAATAAAGGAGCAATATCAGTGTGCAAAGACATAAGGTCCACTTGATTTCTTGATTGCCTTTTTTTGGGCAATTGATGGTTTATTCAGGAAAAATGAAATCCTTTATAACTTCAATTTCTTTAGTCCACTGTGATTCTGTTCGTTGGTCCAGTTGTAAAGGTTTCCATTTTCTCTATGTTCAGATGTAATCTATACTGAAGGCTATAGTCTCTGACTTTCTTTAATGCTTCAAGTTGTCTTTTCCTTCAGTAAGCAAGGTTGTGGTGTCTGCGTATATCAAGTTGTTAATGAATCTTTCTCCAGTCTTGATACAGCATTTTTTTTTTTCAGATAGTGCAGCTTCTCAGATTATTCATAATACAGACTGAATAAGTAAGATGAAAGAATGCAACCTTGTCACACACTTTTTCCAGTTTAAACCACAAATATCCTTCTGTTTGAACAGTTGCCTCGACATGCATTTACTGGTCCCATATGAGCATAATTAGGTGCATTTCCCCCCCTATTTTGCCTTAATATTACACTTTACATTAATGGAATTCTTAAATTGAACCATCCCTGCATTATTTTTAATGAGCTAATGGGGAGGATGAATTTCTTATGATTATTTAATTCCTGCTGTTATCTGTTATTTGAATCTGTTCATTGATGTTTAAGATCTAAAACTTATTATTATTAATGAGAGTAGGTATAAGTGTTATGTGACCTTTCTTAGTGTTTTTTAATCAATATCAATACATCATTAAAATTTTCAGAAATCTTCTTTCTAGAACAATCTAGGAGACATTATAATGAATAAATCTTTAATGATATGCAGAATTGCATTTAAAAACCATGTAGTATTTTATGGTGATTTGTTTTATAAATGTACTTCTGTTTGGAAATTCACTATAGGAACCAATTTTATAAAGTGTATTTTCTAGAAATTCATTCATTTCTCTTAGGTTTTTATTTGCAGAGTTGTACAAATGGTCCCTTATGCATTTAAAAATTTGTTTTCTGTCTGTATAATTATTTTTCTTTTATCATTATTTTGGGTGTTTGTAAATTTATTTAGCTAGTGGTTTCTGTATCTTGTTACTTTTTTAATAAAAAAGATTATTTATGTATTATACTGTTTTCCTATTTTTAATATTAATTTAGGCTTTATCACTGTGAATTGCGTCTTTATGTTTTCTTTTTGTGTGTTGCTGTTGTTGTTAAGTGCCATTGAGCTGGTTATGACTCACAGTGATTCTGCACAGGGTTTACAAGAAGCAGCTGGTGGGTTCGAACTGCCAACCTATTGACTAGCAGTCCGATGGCTATCCTACAGTACCATACCAGGACTCCTTTCTTTGGGTTTGTTTTGCTATTTTTATTTTAGCTTTTTGAGCTGAGTATTTAATACGCCTGGTATGGCACTGTAGGATAAGCACTCGACTGCATGGTCATTTTGAACTGCAAGTCAATGGTTCAAACTCACCAGCCGTTCCTCAGAAACCCTGTACAAGCTCACTATGGGTCGGAACCGACTTGACGACATTTAACAAGAACAATTTAATACATTTGAGATTTTTATTTCTGTAAGTATTTAATGCTTTGATATTTTCCAAATAATCTTTACTTTAGCTGTATCCAATAGACTGAAGGGCTGTTTTGTCATATCATTATTTTTAGTAGATGCTCTAATTTTAGCTTGTTTTGGCATATTTACCCCTTTTGTCTTAGAATACGCCAATAAAAAATCTGAATCTATTACTCACTTCTTTAAAAGCTTGAAACTGATTACAAAAAAATTGCTATTGAAATATATTTATAAAAATCATAAGTGTAAAGTTTGATGATTCTCACTAAGCACACTTGTGTAACCATACTAAATTTCAAGGAACAAACATTACTATCATCTTAAAAGCCCTACCCCTCTTATTTTTTAGGTTGGATTATGTTCAAAGTCAGTTGGAAATATGTAGCTGAATATTCAAAGAATGAAGAGACAAAAGTGTCATCTTTTGCTTGTTTTAAGTAAATAAACTAGTGATAACAAAATGTGCAAACAAGTAGATAGGGTAGAAAATGAACAAATTAGAGTACAGATGTTATGTCAGATTTAATTTTTAAATTTCATAATTGAGCTTTGGAATATATTGATATATGAGAATAATTTAAATTTAAAATATATTCCATTTAGTAAAATTTGATCTATATCTTACCAGGTAGGTGAAGACCAAAGGTAATTTTGATCACTAAGAAATATGTCCTAAAAAGCTGAGTCACTCAGAAACATCAATGAGTTCATATTTATCAATCATGCAAGGCAAATATGAAGAAAATGTCATGTAAGCTTACAACATTTTAAAATTTCACCAAAAATAAAATGTCAATGACATAGTTTTGGAGAAATAACTGAATGGTTGTTGTTGTTATTGTCAAGTGTCATTGAGTCAGTTCCGACTCATAGCAACCCTACAAGAGTTTCCAAGGAGCGACTGGTGAGTTTGAACCACTAACCTTGTGCTTCAAACTGACCTTGTGGTCCAGTGCATTATCCTACAGTGCCACATCAGGATTCCAAGCCCCCCCCCCACCAAAAAAAATGGAATATATATCAATGATTATGTTTTCTATGTAAGATTCATAATTATACAACAAAGTAATTTTTAAATTGTTTTGCTTAAATACACATAGATAATATTTTAATTTTAGCAAAAGTTTTATTTTTTAAAAGCATTTTAATAGAATTTTTTAATGACTTCACCAATGAAATAAAACTAGCTTATTGTTCAATAATATCTCAAAAATATATTTTTAAATATTTCACTTAAGTTTAACATTTACATTATTTTAGTGCTCCCTTGAATTCTCAAAGTTTCCTGATTTGCACAACAAATTATGTCAATATCCTACTTTAAAATAACATAGTAGTTCTGCCCTGAAATACTTTTGAAAATAGTACAAAGAACTTCCATATACTCTTCACACCTTTCCTGATTTTAAACCAGTCAGTATCCCCTTGTACTCTTCCAACAATTGCCTCTTGACCTATGTACAGATTCCTCATGACAAAATTAAGTGTTCTAGAATTCCTGAATATGAGGATAGATTGTATATTTACATATGTTTGTTAAAATATATATATATTTGTTTGTTGTTAAGTGCCATCAAGTAGGTTCTAACTCATAATGACCTGGTATAGAGATTTCTGAGGCTGTGTACCTTTGTGATAGCAGAAAAGCCTCATCTTTCTTCTGCGGAACGGCTGGTAGTTTTGAACTGCTCACCTTGAGGTTAGCAGCCTGACTTGTTGTAACCACTGTACCAGAGCTACAGCTATATGGAGTCCTAGTGTGGTGCTGTGGGTTAATGCGTTGAACAGTAAAGCCAGTTTGAATCGCAAGGTTGGCAATTCAAGATCACCAGCTGTTCCTCAGAAACCCTATACAGGGTCACTGTGGGTCAGAACTGACTCAACAGCACTTCACAACAAGTCCTGTGCTTAATCAATAGGGCCACACTAGGATATATATATATTTGAAAATGTCACAAATATTAAAAATGAGAGAATAAAAAGTATATGAAAGTTCTTTGTAATACTTTTGTGAGTTTGGAATTATTTTAAAACAAAATTAAAAGCTGGGGATTTTTCTTTTTTTTTACAAAAGAGCATAGATTTTAAGGCCAGTTTCTTGGCTGTGTGATCTTGTATAAATTACTTTCATTGAGCCTTCGTGTCCACACCTGCAAACTGAAGACTATAATATCTCCTTTGCAGAACTGTAAATTTTTGGAGTAATATGTGCTTGACACATTGTAGATGTTTAATGGATGTTAACTATTATTGCTATTCATAACAATGGGTGCTTTTGTTCAGTGAGACAACAGCCTCATGCTAGATTTAGAACCAAGATTTCTGGTAGCTAAACAATACGATATTCTGATTCTCATGTGTGTTATTGTGCTATGTAATAAAAAATGCACTGTAATTGCTTTAAGATCCTAGCATCATTAAAGTAAGTTAATGATCTGAAGGCAAACTTAGGCAAATAGCTTTAGAGATGTAATTTGAATATATTCTTGAGAAATCTCAGTTGCACCAGAAAAGACGTCTTCAATAACTTGGAAATGGACCTAAACTGGGAAAATGAAGCAAACGTAATTGATAATACAGCAGGGCATTTAATTTAAAGGGATCTAGCATACCTTAAAATTCAGTGCATTTCTTCCATAGATTTGGCAGTTTAGTATGGCCAAATTGGTCAAAGCCACTATTGTTTCATATTGCGTTGTCGAGAAAATCTTAAAACCTTCACCAAGTACAACATTTGCATCCGCTTCCTCTCTTTTTTTAGTCTTAGTGGGAGCTTAATAAAACAAAACAGGAGAGTTATCTGTGATGTCTGTCACTTAGACTGCTAACATAAATCAGTCACCATAAACAGAATAGCTGGATATGTTCACTGGAAAGGATTCGCTGTAACCTGCACCCCCCCAACCTGAGCTAGTTACTTTTGTTAATCTGAGTTTCTTATAGTCTCATTTTAATTTTTTAAAAGTAGGCATGTTCATTTATTTCTATGTGGATAGAGAGTCCATCAATTTCAGTCTGGTTGGAATACATGTAAAAACATTAAAAAAGACACTCATATTACTATGAATTACAAAACTAACATCATGGCTCACAAAACTCATAAATGGCATCATATGGACATAACTCAGATCACTTCCAAAAGGGCAGCTTCATTTTTCCTAATAATGCATTGATAAGATACAAATGTTTCCTATATGCAATTCAGCTTTTCCCTCTGTAGACCCCACATAGGAAAAGGAAAGAAAAAAAGAAAAGAAAAGCTCAAGAGTTAGCCAAGGAGAGACCATCTGAAGTGAATTTACCCTTGTAGGTTTCATCTTCAATCAAAAATGATCTAGTTAAGTTTTATACCCCTAACTGTGGCAGGATGACATTCTTGCTGCATTGCTAGCAGTGCCGTATTTTGCATCTTTAATAATCTAATGCTATTGTTTTAGTGAGAGGAAATAATGCAGCCTAGAACAAAGAAGATAATGATCAGTTTTATAATTTCTAATATAGGCTCTCCATACCCATTTCAGATAAATATATGTGAAAATTAACTATAAGAGAAAGACATATGACATGATATTGTAGTTCCTTATTTTAGGAGTAGGAATGGAGCAAGAAGGTGAGAGTGAATTCAATCATAGTTGATGGTTTGCGCTCTGCTCACCCACCGTGGCATCTCAACTCAAACAGCTGGTTTGAGGCTCAGAAGGAAACAGACAGAAGTGGAGGTGGTAAAAATTCCCTCTGGAGAGGTGGTGGCTAGAAATTACCCTCAGACTTAAGAATCTAAGGACCCTTAAACTCAGGGGCACAGTTCAAAGAAGGATCCACCAGAGTGATCTAAACTCACAGCATGAATTTTTGAGGCTCACGACTTAAAAGGAGACCCAGAAGTTAATTCATGCCACTGAGAAGGATACAAAAATACTGGGAGGAATAGAAAGTTCTATAGCTGGAGTGTTCAGCTGTGCGCAATCTTTTATTAATCCCATCTACTGAATTATGCTATGTTGTTTTTGAGTTCTAGAATTTAATTTTAATTTTGTTTTTATAAACATAGATTCAAGGTCTCTGATAAACTTCTCCAACTATTTCTTTTATTTCCTTAAACAGAGTCAATAATTGTTGTTAGGGGCCCTTGTGTTGGATCCAACTCATAATAACCTTATATGTAACCGAATGAAACACTGCCTAGTCTTGCTCCATCTTACCATCACTGTGTCAGGCCATCTCAGTGAGGCCTGGCTTCAAAGGAACATTCTGGCTGTACTTCTTCTAACACAGATTTGTTCTGTCTCCTGGAAGTCCATGGTATATTTCATGTTCTTCAGCAATACCATCATCAGCTTTTGCATGCAGATGAGGCGATGGAAAATACTATTGCTGGATCAGTCATGCTTTCATCCTCAAAGTTACATCTTTGCTTTTTAACACTGTCAAGGCGTCTTTTTTGCAGCCGATTTGTCCAATGCGGTATATTGTTGCTTGCTTTCTTGACTACTGCTTCTGTGAGTATGCTATTGTTGTTAAATACCGCCGAGTCGATTCCTACCCATGGCGACTCTGTATTGGGGTTTCTGAGGTGCACTGGTGAGCTTGAACTACTGACCTTGCAGTACAAACCATCTCTGCAGTCCAGTGCAATAACCCACAGTGCCACACCAGGACTCCTCTATGAGTATGTTATTGTTGTTACGTGCAGTAGAGTTCGTTCCAACACATAGCGACCCTGTATAGGGTTTCTGAGGAGTGCTTGGTGAGTTTGAATTGCTGACCTTTCGGTTCACACCAACTTTGCAGTCCAGCGCATTAACCCACAGCGCCACACATAGATTACAGTAAATTGAAATCTTTGATTTCTTCCTTATATTCTCTGTTAATCATGATGTTTTTTATTGGTCTAGTTGTGAGGGGTTTTGTTTTGTTTATACTGAGGTGTAATCCATACTGAAAGCTGTATATGGTCTTTGATCTTCATCAGTGATTTAAGTCCTCTTTGTTTTTAGTAAGCAAAGTTGTGCTATCTGCATATAATGGATTGTTAATGAATCTTCCTTTAATCCCAATGCTGTGCTTTTCTTCATATATAGTCCAGCTACTAAGATCATTTGTTCATCATATAGATTGCATAAATATGGTGAATGTAGACAACCCTGATAAACACCTTTTCTGGTAGTAAAGCATATCCTATCATAATTCAAAAGCATCAATTCTTCTTTGGTATTCCTCATTTATTTCCCAGTATTTGACTTATAGCAAATACATAGGACAGAGTAGAACAACTCTATAGGATTCTGAGACTAAATCTTTACAGAAGCTGACTACCTAATCTTTCTCCAGAGTGGACATGGGTTCTAGCCACAGACCTTTTGCCTAGCAGTCCAATGCTTAACCCACTAAACTATCAGGGCTCCTTGATAGTAATATCATAGCTATTTTTAAATTCCTGTCTGAAAACACCAATATCTGAATCACCCATGGGACTGTTTTGATAGTCTGTGCTTTTTCTAGTCTTCAAACAATTTTATCCTTTTTCTAGGATGCCTTGTGGTTTCTTATTTGATACTAGATATTGCCGATGGAGCTCTGGTAGCATAGTGGTTATGAATCGGGCTGCAAACTACAAGGTCACCAGTTCGAAACTACCAGCTATTCCGCGGGAGAAAGATGAGGCAGTCTGCTCCCGTAAAGATTTACAGCCTCGGAAACCCTGTGCAGGGTCGCTATGAGTCGGAACCGACTCCACGGCACATAACAACAACAACAATTGCAGATGGAAACATTTAAAGGGTCTAGAAAATACTCTAACAGGGCTGTTGCTGTTAGTTGATGCCAAGTTGACTCTGACCCATAGCAACCAATGCGGAGTAGAACTGTGTTCCATAAGGTTTCCCAGGTTTGTGCAACTGTTAAAATATATACTCAATTCATTAGCTTCCCAGCTGCTGTTTTTTAGAGTCTTGCCCTACACAGGCACAGCTTAGAAAACAGCCAACAACCTGAAGAGAGTTTGTATGTAGATCTTAGAATTCACTTACTTAATTCCTTCTTCTCTCAGATGTTGTCCACTGGGTCCCAACTACATCGGTAGCACTAAGACTCATACCTCCTCAATTCAGTAAAACCATCCTCACTTGTACTGTGTTCTCCCACACCACAGACTTTCTCTCTTTTCCGTCCTGCTCTATTCCTTCTTCAAGAAAAAGAATTTCTATATAACACATCATATACCTTTCTATATTCTACAGCTCAATTTTACATCTATAGATCTGAAATGAGCACTGCTGTGTGCTGTTTTAGAAATTTAAACCCACAAATTTCCTAAGGGAAAAACCTTGAAAACTTCCTTTCTTTCAAGGATAGTAGCCACTTAAGTTATGCCATCATTGATTACTGTCCAATGCCTTTAAAAAGATTTTATATATTTTGGGAGACTTTAATAGTTGATTTTACTGGGATGGGAAAGTTCAATGCAAGCCACTCAATCATGAGCAAAACAGAATGCACCCATAGTGATTTAAATGTCTGTATCTGGTAATTCTAATATTGGGAATGCCTGTGGATATGTTTTTATTGTTTGCTGTTTCTGCCAGTTTTCCTTCATTTTGTTCTTCTGTTTGTATGCCTGGTAATTGTGAATTGTTTCCAACACATTGTACTTATGAAATTGTTTCTAGAATGAAAGTGAGGTAGAGGATGACAAGGATAATAGAATTTTCATTTAGAGATTGTTTTGATTTGAGTTTCTCAGAAAATTTCAGGTCACATTCAGTGACCTTACTTCAATTTTAGGTGGGAAAAATCACCTACAATAGTAGGGAACATAGTAGAGAAAAGAAAAGAAAGCTAGAACAGAATTTTAAAGAATGACAGCCTTTGAAAAAGCCACACAGCTGCCATAGGAGTTTTTTTGTTTTTTTTTAAAGATCAGTAGTGTGCTGACGTGGAAGCCAAAGAGAAGCACATTTCAAGAATGATGACATTTAAAAATATTCAATGTAATGAAATTTCTCTTCTAATTCAATAGGAGCTCTGGTAGCGTAGTGGTTACGAATCGGGCTGCGAACCTTAAGGTCAGTGGTTCGAAACTACCAGTCGCTCCGCGGGAGAAAGATGAGGCTTTCTACTCCCGTAAAGATTTACAACACCCTCGGAAACCCTGTACAGGGTCGCTATGGGTCGGACCCGACTCGATG